GGTCATGTTCAGCCGAATATGAGAGATGTTTATGTGGAGGTGGGGTCTAATGACCAGCCGTACCTGTAAGATGGTCAGTAGATTTCCTAGGGGCCGAGTCGATGGGCACCCTCCCTCTGAAGTTTCCGCTGATGGCGGCCACGGGTTTGGTGGACACGATGTGGGAGCCCGTCAGGTCCGAGTAGTCGTCACCGTACTGCGTGATGAAGAACGTCTGGTACCTGACGTCACACACACACACACAGGAGCAGTTAGGGTTAAAGAGGGGAAGAGGAATGATGGAGAGAAAATGGAGAGGGCAGATGTGGTGGAAAACGAGGGAGTGAGGGGTGGAGAAATGCAGAGATACAACTAGTGAAAGAGTGAGGGAAAGAGTGAGGGGAGAGATAGGGAATTGAAACGAGGGGAAGAGAAAAGAGAAAAAGACAGGGAGGAAGAGAGGCAGACACACGGGCAGGCAAGCGAACAGATAGACAGACAGGCATCAAAGCAGACAAAGCGAGAGAGTGGGAAAAGAGGAATGAAAAGAGATAGTGAGAGAGGAGACAGACAGACAGACAGACAGACAGACAGACATACAGACAGACAGACAGACAGACAGACAGACAGATAGATAGATAGACAGACAGAGAGACCCAGAATTTGCATGCAGACTAACCCTACTTCTTTTTTAAACATCTGAGGTAAGTATCTTGACTAGAGCGATAAAAACAAACTTGAGCCCTCTGTTGGGAACTTACTTGATCTTTTTTACACATTTAGGTTTCCACTATGAGTTAGCGACATTAAGTGACGTTATGCGGGTTAAGAATGTATGTCTGGCTTATTTCAAGAACTGCACCGCATTTACTTTTACCACTTAGACAAAGGGGAGTGCGGTGAAATAATAAAACAAAAAAATTTATACAAAGGGAATGACCTGTTAATAGTTTCTGAGAGAGTGTCGCCGTTGCCGTAGTTCTGTCCGTTGTAGTCGATGGAGACCGGGTTCACCCAGGTCAGGGTTCCTGTACGATCGTTGTCGGAGAGCCTCACCGTGAACTGAGTGTTGTCCTCGATTCCGATCAGCAGGATCTGTGCATAACGGCTGAGGAATATGATTGGAAACTGATGTGACTTTGAGTAAATGAAACGCACACAATAAAACATACATTTACACACATACACATACATCTACACACACACACACACACATACACACACACACACACACACACACACACACACACACACACACACACACACACACACAGGCATACACAAGCGTGAGTGGGCAAACAAGCACACATACACACTAAAATACACTACTACTACATGTACTACAACAACAACTGCTACTACTACTACTACTACTACTACTACTACTACTACTACTACTACTACTACTACTACTACTACTACTACTACTACTACAAACAACCTCAAAGACGTACTCACATATAAGACATAGAATAGTACTCGGTCCCAACAGTGTGTACCGGTATACCGACATAAGCGTCTGTGGACATCCTCTCTTTGTTCACACAATACACTGTGATCTCCTCGCTGGCCACAATGTGAATGCCTTTGTTTTCCTTGCCGGTGCCAGATACTCTGAAAATAATAATGATGGTATCAATAAAAACAACAATAAAAATAATAATAATAATAATAATAATAATAATAATAATAATAATAATAATAATAATAATAATAATGAAAATAAAACAATTAGAAGAAGAAGAAGAAGAAGAAGAAGAAGAAGAAGAAGAAGAAGAAGAAGAAGAAGAAGAAGAAGAAGAAGAAGAAGAAGAAGAAGAAGAAGAAGAAGAAGAAGAAGAAGAAGAAGAAGAAGAAGAAGATGAAGAAGAAGACTAGTAGATTATGTAATAGTTATTATAATAGCGTTGATGGTAATATAACAGATTATTATTGTACTATTGTAGAGTTCTTGGAGCAATTTCCCATTGAAAATGCGCTACATAATTCCCCAAGGAAGATCAATAGTGAAATTAATTTATATGTATATAATGCACATTTCATAATCTAATACCATACCTCAGTTCCAGGGGAACCAGCAATAGCTCCACCTGTTGCCTAGCAACCGTTGCCGTGGCCTGCCAGGAGGGGTCATACAGGGGCGTGGTGACCGTCACAGAGGCCGGTGTGTTGGCCATTGTGGTCACAAACACCTCCAGCGCCACCTGGGGATATGTCAGAGGTCATTTTAAACTTTTCAGAATGGGGCTCTCGTGACCTAGAGGTTGAGGTGTTCGCCTCTCATTCAATAGGTCCCGAGTTCGAATCCGGAAGGCGGCGGAATTTTTTTCTTAAAAACTTCCTCTGTACACATCCCTTCCTGCTATCTAACAATGTTCAGTCGTCTGCTTTCATCTTCACTTTCTGCCACCACCCCGTCACCTCATTTGCCCCTTCCTCTGGGCTCCTGACTCTTTCTGCAGCCTTTCTACTGCTTCTCCTTGGCTCCTTCTTACTGCTGTCTTTCAGTCACACCCCTGATCTTATGATAGGTAACATGTACACCTTACCTCTTTGGATGTACCCTCTGAAAGTCGCGCACGTTAAAAATCCGTTGAAGGTCCAAAATCGATAAGATTAGGCTTCGGTCGCCACCCGAGCAAAAGTCAAAATGTCCTACCTACTGAAAATGTTTGGTGTGTTCCGGGCGCTCATATGACTTTAAACAGTTGCGAGCGCCGGTAAAACATTTTGAAAACTAAATAAGAGGGAAAATTCAAGAATTACGCGAGGGACGAGAGTATAGACTTAAATGACAACATCCTAGGACAAGGACTACTGCTTGTCAGGCTGGACGATAACTCCTGCCAGTGGGCGAGTTGGTAATTTTGGTGGGCAGAGGGGTTCATAATTTAGCAACAGATGAATGTAATGACCCGTTCGGAAATACATTGTATGTGGTTGTCATATCGTCATATGTTATACTCCTAGAGGTGGCAAAAATGGGCGCTAACTACGTAAAGATTGCAAACACTGAGCTAGAGCATGGACTTGAATTACAATATGATCATCCTTGGACCTAGAGCGTGCAAAAAATGTTGCTGCAAAGATTTGGGCGCCCAAATGAAGAGCAAAACATTACTCTCATTATAATCGAGCGCTCTGGGCACCGCCCCCTGCCCCGTCCCTTTTTTCTCCTC